TTTGTCATAAAGAAAACGATAGGTCTCACAAAAAATGACGGTCGTGTTTTATGTCTAACTTTTGAATTAAACCCTTTTGAAACTGAAGAAATATGAAGACGGTGGACTGTAAAGTACAAAGAATAATCATTTTTCCCTTGACCTACGATAAAATCAAAAATTATTTGACGGCCTTTCAACGATTTTATTCATGCAAAGACCTCAATTAAAAAAATACCTGGGATGGGCATAGCAAAACCGGTCAAATGTGGGTCAGCTAGGTGAAAATCCCGATTTCCTGTCCTGTTCCCTTTAACATATCATAATTCACATTAAAACAGTCCGTTGTTAATTATTTATTTCTTATCTTGACCCACTCATTGTTAATTATATCCTTGTGATTTATACGAGTTTAACTGGCAGAGGTTGGTCCCTCGGCCGCAGCTGAAGAAACACCAAATAGACAAATGTTTGGCCAAGTCGACCTCCACCCACAAATAAAATCAAATTTGAATGCGCGCCAAATTGAAATTTATGGAAAATTCCATCCCAAGTTGAAAAGAAAGTCTAGTTTTCCATGCCACTTTTACAAACAGCCCATATTTAGAATGGCAAGGGCGGATTAGGCATAATGTCAAAAAGTGAGAAAACAGAAATTTTACTAGGATAAACTTAGTCCACAAAACGGTCTTAAATTCAATAAATAAAAGTATTAATATTATAATTAAAATAATGTATTTTTGGAGTTTTGGGGTTGCTTAAGGTTTTTAAAAATCCTTTCCTCCACCGTGATAAATTTAGACCTATAGTAGAACCCCATAAATGATTGCCTTACCTTGGAAAGTGCATTTTTTCCTATCAGACTAAGCTCTTTTTTCGGTGTCACTTCCCGCTCCTCTTTTGGTATGAGAATTGCCTTACCGAAGTGGTTGTACCTTAGCCGAGCTAATACTTCACATTCACAAAGGATATGTGCCGATGTCTCTGGTTCCTCCTGACAGATTCGGCTGTTTCTGTATCTCCTTTGCAATCTTCTTTATGTGATAGTTAACAGGGCAAAGTCCAGCAACTCAGGCCTACAATTTTCCTCAAATTCTCCCTGCATAGACAGAAGAGTACCTTCCCCTTCATTTTTTCACAGATGTCTTATTTATTATCTCTTAGGTTGCCTCTACCTGGTAATTTTATCCAATGCTTAGGGTTTTTCTTCCCATTCAAATCAAATCTATGGAATTTTTTTTTTTTTTTACGAGGGTTCGCAACAGCAGAGGTCATATAAACCCTCAGGGTGCCGGTGTTTTTGAAAAAAAGCCCATTTGTAAGTATGTCGGGTTCGAATGCAGGGCCGCTGGATTCGAACCCGGGACCTTTACCTTACAGTGATGAGCGCCGTGTCAGGGATGGTTATGCCGCGTTTATAATTATCACATTTGGCAGAGCGAGGTCAAAATTTAAAAAAAAAAAAAAAAAAAAAAAAAAAAAAACCTGTGATTTTACTATCGGCATAAACTTAGTATACAAAACGATTCTAAATACAATAAATACAATTATTAATTTAAGTAAAATTATATACCTTTAATTGTTAGCTTGGTATTTAGTGCTCAAGTTTAACCCGTTATATACCCCCCCCCAGTTACGCCCAAATATAAGTTATTAGCATTTATCAGATTTGGGGATATAATTTCCGGTAATTACTTAGGATAATTTCATCGAAGTAATCATTAAATTTGTTGAAGTGGCGAGGAGCAGTCAGGAATGAAGTATTTTAGAAAAACATTTTATTTTTTTTGCCGATGTTTATGGTTTATTGTTATCGTTAAAACGTCATAAATTAGTCTTCTTAAATGTTCTAATTGCACCTCGATAAAACTGTTCCATTGTAATCAAAGCATTGACTAATTGAAATACTTTTTTAATTAAAAAAAAAGAGAATATACAGAATACATTTTGAATGGTGCACAAAGTATAATGGCATGACTAATGCCATCAGCGATAGTTTACCATTAAAAAAGAAAGAATATTCACTAAGAGAAAATATAAATAGTAACTACGTATACAATAGTAAGCAATTATTAAAATTTAAGGAACAAAACATTTGCAATGAGCAATAAAGATATTTATATAATAGCAAAATGTGTAATTACCTTAGATAATAATAATAATTAAAAAGTAAGACAAATAAAAATAGTATAAAACAATAAAAATACATTAAACCTTTAATATAAAAAAATTGAATAACATACAAAGTTCAATTAATTTTTTTTATGTAAAGCCTTGGTTGAGATGAAAAAGTCAGTGTGACGAGCGGGATTCGAACCCACGACGTACGGCTAAATACGCTGCTACTCTACCACTTGAGCTATCGTACATTTGAACATTTGAAGTACAAATGTGTGGTGATTAGTGACCGTTAATCGATATTTATTTAGAAATCGTGAGATGCGGTCTGGTGTGATGTAGGTTTCAGAAAAACATTTTCTTTATCGTGCCAAGAATGGCACATTTACACAGAAGACAAACACTTTGAGTGAGTAGAAATACTTTGATCGAATATATAAAAAAATATATTTTGCATTGTATAAATTCAGTTTTCTACATCCAAAATGTAATTGTAATATGTAAACAATGTTTGTAAATCCCAGGCCCTGAAGATGTTCTCAATAAAGATCGAAATGTTGGCACGATAAAGAAATTTTTTTCAGAAACCTACATCACACCAGACCGCATCTCACGATTTCTAAATAAATTTGAAGTATATTTGAAAATGGCAAAAAGTGGGAAAATTCGAACGGTTGTAAGTTGAGATGGAGAGTTGGTGTCGAGAGGATCGAAGTCACGATAGCTCAAGTGGTAGAGTAGCGACGTATTTAGCTGAAGGTCGTGGGTTCGAATCCCGCTCGTCACACTGACTTTTTTATCTCAACCAAGACCTTACTTAAAAAGAATAATTAATTGATTGATTAAATATACTATTTATAAAAATGTTAACGCTTAAGCACAGACAGTAGTCCGTCAGGCAAGTTGACTTACATTGCTTTTTTGCATCGAATAATAATTATAAGATAAAAGAAAATCAAATTTTTAACCCATCCCTAATTATTACCTAACCCATCTCTAAACCTAACCCTAACTTTACCTCGTTGTACTCTCACTTCGGCGTTACATATAATAAAATTGGAATAATAAAAATCAACCAGCCCTGATTTTTTCATCTCAACGAAGACCTTACATAAAAAGAATAATTAATTGAAAGAAATAATTTGCTCAATCATACCACTAAACATAATGGATTTAATATACAAAGTAATGTCTAATGTTCTAATAAGAAAAGAGAAATATTATAATAGTAAATAATTATTCAGAAATCGTACAACAGACCGCATCTCACGATTTCTGACTAATTATCGATTAACGTACACTAATAATGAACACATAGTAAATAATTATCAAATTAAAGAAACGGTACAGAAAACAATTATTTTGCAGTGAGTATGTATAAAATGTATACAATAACGAAATGTGTGATTAAATATTAATAATTAAAAAATAAGGCAAGGTTTTTATTTAATTAATTAATTAATTTTTATTTATTATAATGTTATTTTATGTGTGGTTAGTTCTAAATATGATGGCTCTATAAACGACATGCATACAACTGCCTCGCCATCAAGAATCAATACATAATTTCAGGCGTACAGATAATTGTTTTTAAGAAGATTATATGTACATTATATATTTTTGTTTTAAATAGTTGTTGACTAGACGAAATAATTATACATTTCCGTTTTAGAAAACAAGTTTTTTTTCAGAGGTGGCATGAAATCAATTATTTAACTACTGCCTTGTACCAGACTTGATTTGATTTTTTTTTTTATTGAACCCCTTTTGTAATTATACGTATCCGCATAACCTGAATAAAGCAAAGGACGCCTGGGATTAGGTCTAATGTGAGCCAGTTATTGCACAACCGTACATCTTCAAAATTGTTTTTCCCCCTTGATTTTTGAAACGGCCTTGTCCGAAATCGGAACAAAAGGCAGTTCATCCGATTCAAATTTTTTTTAAAAATTATTTATTACCACCTGTTCAAATATATACATTATGCAATGTGGCACAATATTTGTCATTTGCAAATATTCTGAGGGAAGCCGGCAATCATTGTTGCTCTTCCAGGTTTCAAACTAGACAATCGATAGTGTCGAAATTAGTTGTTTATCGTTTGGTGGACGATGTAGTGACATAAAGAGTAGAATCGAAAATCTAAAATTACTAGACACACACACAAACGTTTTTGTCACATCGGAAACAACTCATATACTGCCTAAATACATAAAACCTTCCATGTTCATTTCAAAATCCTGTGGTCTACATGAATGAAAAGTGATTAATTACATTTCTTCAAATCTAAGGATGAATTAATAATTTTTATTATGAATGGCTAATAAATGGCAGATTATTTATTTAAATTGTATATAAAACATAGGTGCCATAATATAACCATGAAGAAACGACCATACCGATCATTTTCAGAGTTTGACAATTGACCCAAGAAAGTTGGTGAGTAAGGATAAAGGGGTCTTGATCTCCACGCTGTAAAGGCGATCGGTCTATCCAGCCATAGTTGTATATTTAAAATCGTCCGTTCTAGGGAGATTCCTAGTAGGGCATGGGCCCATTGGGGCTGCTTATGATGGGCCAATGAGCCCGAACGACAGAATAGATAAATATTTATGCCACGGAATACTTGAGTCTTCTTTTCCCCATTTATCATCTAAACTTAAAAAAACCTTGGAATACAACAATATGATTGAAATATTTATATATAAAATCGATGATAAGGCCGTCAAAAAACGGCCAAACCGATAAATTTCAGGATATGACGATTGACCAAAGTAGGCTTTTGAATTAGGGTAAAGGGGTCTCGGTCTCCACACTTCAAAGGCCATCAGGCTTGGGTCAAGACCGGCCTGCGACAGGAAAACAGTTAATCACTTATTAAATAAAAAACAGTTTCGTTTTATTTAGTTCATGGAAGTACATAGTATGTTAAACTTTTCGTTTTTATGCGGAAAAAGAAATCTGAAGGACTTTTTACATCCCTTTACACCATTTTAGCTGAAACTGGGTAGGCTGAGGGTCATCCGGCAATCCATTTTCCATCCATTGAATAAGACATTCGAGCTTTTCCAAATCCAAGTTTGACTGATGAGCCTCTTCCATTTCGTCGATTGCTGATAAATAATGACCCAGTTACTTTCAGCAGTCAAAACTACGAGTAGCATGAAGTTTTCCAGAGGTTTTCTTTTTAAAAGTAGTTTAGTTTATACAGAACCATGCATATCATTAATAAAATAATTGGGCACCGGTTGGCTGTCTCTCTGACTTCAGTTATATCGAGATTCACCCGGAAACAGAAATCGGTCATTTTATAAGGAAGAGCCTGTCAAGACATGTTTTAACATTTACATAAAGTTGCAACCTGCAGTTGTGATCTTGCTAACCTTATTATTTTTAGCTTATTTTTTATCCAGCCATAAACCATCAGCAACAGGCAACTCGTTGAAATGATGGTCACATTAGTGATATTGCAGTGGTAGTTTAACTGGTTTTTCTCTATTTTTACACCTGACTATTCGACTGCATAAAACGTTTCATTCTTCGTCTTACACAATTTTCTCTTAAAAATAGCTGCTTTATCATCAAGTTTTGATTGAGTCACTCTCAGGAAGATAACTGAATCACTGGAGTGAACTAAATACAGGATGATTCCTAGCGCACTTTAACGGTTGTTAAGATTTTCTTTGACTATCTTTTTCTAAAATAAGAAATGGATTTGCATTATTTTAGAAAGTGTGTCAATAAAATTAGGGTTTATTTGTACAATAGACCATCAAACCACCTTATGACCTTTCTGTGTTAATGAAGAGCTGCAGTCGGATATTTTGTTATTAGCTAACCAGTATCAAATCTGCCACCAGGTGAAATAATGGACATCGATGACCTGAAATTTAATTCTCAAGATAACAAATTGCAAGTATTTAAATTTTTTAGAAATGATGAATGATGGAGTTAGTGCGGTGTTCAATCCTGTTTTAAAAAGGGTTTAAAATTTTTGTCATTACTAGTCTACCGAATACCTTTGACATAAGACAATAAACTAATAGGTTACGAGAGTTTATACCTTTTCAACCATGTTTTCTACAGTTTAAAACGATTTCGGTAAAACTGCGACTGAAATTGTAAGAGGGGTGATTTTTGATCAGTGATGCGGTCTAAAATTCGACGTTTTGTCAAGCTAAAAAGCCTAATTGGAACTAACCTATTCCGTTCCTCACCCTTTTAATCCTAACCCTACCTATCCAAACCATCTAACCTAACTCAACCAATTCACATTCACCAATAACGTGAAAATGTTCACACTGAATAAATTTATCCAACCCAAAAACCATATGAATCGTCCTTTAACCAAATTGAATTCAATTGTTATGTTTTATATATATTTGTAATTTATTTTGTATTCATAATGAGTAAGATCAAGAAGTAAGAGACCTTCACACTTTACACCTGTCAATACCGAACTGTTTTATTATTTTTGTTCTTAACATACATTTATTATTCAATTATTGACTGTCTATACAAGTGAATAAGTTTCAGCATTTTTGCCTTTATTTAAACTTTCAACAACTGAACCTAAATAAAAACGAAATGCGAACCATTTTAAGACCAATTATCAATTAATTAGAGTGTTTTGAATGTGAGCCCTGAAGAAGTCAGTAGTATAAAACTTCTGTCTTTTGAAGAAAAGAAAATCAGCATTTTTATTCAACTGAAAAATGACTCCAGAGATCAGATTCATAAAGATTTGCTTATTTCGGTGGCCGCGGTCCAAGTGCTTAAGGCGTCAGAAACTATTTGACACGCAAGCGGTTCTGGGTTCGAATCCCGGATAGCACATTGGCTTTTGTGAGACATTTGGAAAAAAGTGTTTTAAAGCTGTTCTGTCCGCTCTTCCGCGACACCCATCGGGTAGTTGAATGTTAACTCTTCCTGTATAACAGAAATGATTTTAATGTGTCTATATTTGCTACTTTCTAATGGACAATGATATAGAAATGATGGATCCTTTACCGTTGTGTGATTGGCATAGATCAGCGAAGACGATAGTACATTATAAATGATTCGCGAACCTTTAACCCGTTTTCGTTCTTGTTTTCTGCTGAGTGTCTGTAGCAGACAATCGAACGTAATACGTAACGTATTAATACACGACGTAACGGCGACGGATCCGGAAGGTATGCTGTTACATGCTGCCGTAGATCGTACCGGCGGAAGACCGGTCGCGGCCATTTTAAGACCTATGGGAACCACCTCCAGCCTTCTCTTTTCCATATTATGTCATCATATTTATGAGAGAGCCCCGTTTGGATTTCCACGACTTCCAAAGTCGACCTTCCTTAGGTGAAAACGATTCGTTAACGGCCGATCCGACGACGTTCCAAAGTCAATGAAGTTATACCGGCCGACCGGCCTCGCTCCACATGTATCTATACATTAAAAAACAACGCAAATACAAACACGTCCCTCCAGTTGTTTTTTTTTTTTTCGGAAGTCAAATGGTAAAATTATCGTGTATACTCCTGTATTTATAATTGAAAATAACCGTGAAAAAGTCTCAGTGTCATTTTTTAAACTATCTGTTTTGTAATCTTTTTCGTTGGAAATTTATCTCCCAATTAGTTTTACGGGTTGCGCAAACATTTTTTAGTTATCCGATATAATTAGTCGTTTTAGTCACTGTCCTGTGAAATTTATCAACAGGTTGACAATTTTTACTTCCTGATTAATATTCTGAATATATCCATTATATTTCGTGGTCCAATTGACCAAATAACTTCGTCTAACCAATTAATCTTTATTTAAGGTAGTGGTTGAAATGAAAAAGTTCGATAGCTCAAGTGGTAACAGCAGAGGCGTATTGAGCCGAAGGTCGTGGGTTCGAATCCCGCTCGTGACTAACTTTTTCATTTCAACCAATACCTTAAATAAAGATTAATTAATTTAAAAAATTCTGAATCTATATTCAAAATAAATTACATAAGCTTTAAACTTCTTAGAAATTTTTTGTACATGCACTGAACTTGAATCGTCCTAAACTTGTGCAATTTTTAGCACAGTAAATCCTAACTTTTTACGGCAAATACAAAAACTGGTAGATTGACAGGTTGAAATGAAATGAAGTAAAATTTCGACATTATTAAAAGAAAATTAATAAATTTATGAGTGGAGTCTGATTTAATTCTTCTGGGCTCAAAAATCGATATGATAAAATATACAACAATTTTTCAATAATTAGGTTTTAACCTTTTTTGAAACGTTAACAGAAAAAAAAATCATTTGATTGTCCAGACTTATTACTGACTAGGGCGGCTGGGTTTTGGGAGTGGAGTGGTCCGAGATGGTCGGCCTACGAAGCCCCTGAGCACGGCCGTTGACGGACCAACAGTAGTAAATACCAACTGGGACGGATGATCTTTCGAGAAGGAGTGGGTGCAGCACGTGAGGGCTGGCCTGTGAATACCCGTTGACACCCGTTACCCATAGGGGAGAGGCTGATCACCTCTCCCCTTGAATTCACCCATGTGGAGAAGGGTATCTGAGAATGAACAGCTTTAATCCGAGGTTCCGTGCGGTCACACTACCTCGGATTCGTCCCTCGAGATGACTGGTCGGGATGGTGTTGACTCGTTCGGCGCTTGAACGGCCATCTCATCTCTTCTATCCACCCCTTCCCTCTTTATCCTCTCAAACGGAGGTAGGATTCTTTAATCATGAATTTACTGGGTCTGGCACTTTTGGAGTTCGTCCACCTTTTGATTTGTGGACCTATTCAGAAACAGAGGATTCTGTATTGTCCTTGTTTCCTCTGTATAAGTTCAGGGCATATAATAACAGGGTAATTTCTTGGAATCCTGGCGCATAAGATATTGTCCGGTTGTTGTGTTTGCCCAGGTCTTCGAGATTTTGTATACATTCGCTGTCTGTGCATGTGTCGCGATGCTTTTTGTGTCAGTGTAACCTTTTTAAGATTTTCGATAGCACAAGGATTGATAGGTTATTGGTAGTATTTATTCGACTACATATTTGGTTATCGTTGAGTATACCCATGTTGGGTAGGTGTTTTCTTAGATGCAGTTGGCAGGTACCCTATGCCTCCTCTGAGTTTTACCCTGTTTAACTGTAGCAACGTGTTTGCCAGTTTTGACGAGGTTCTTTAACCAGGGTTTACTATGTCTGGCATCTTTGGATTTGGTTTTCTGTGGACCCATGATGACGAATCTATGTTTGATGTTATCAACATTATAGGTTCTAGGTCGATAGTTGATCTCCCTCTTGCCAGTTTGTCTGCTTGCTTATTACCCAGAATTCCTTTGCGCTATGGCAGCCAAGATTTTGTAAGGTCATTTCGGATGCATTCACCGACTACTTTGGATGAGACATTTTTTATCAGTATGATCTCTTTAAATATTCACTATGAAAATTGTATGTACTTTAGCTTGAAAAACTGAGGCGTACTTCCAGAATTGTCAATTTAAATAGATTAACTTTTCAAAACAAAAATCACACGAGAGCTTCATATATTGTTAATTGATTCCGTTGAAAAACTAATTAATTCATGACACTCGCATTTTTACAGTATTTTCTATTAACTTAATATTTGATATAATTATAAGTTTATATTAAAAAATGATCAAGGTTTTGGCCAATTGGAAATCAGTTTCTTTGACGACCTTGCGAGCAATAAACCCACTTCATCAGGACTTTGCAACTTAAATTAATTATTTAAATGGTTAACAAATATTAACATCTGTTCTTTTATTTGGAAATATATGCCTCGTGTATATTGAAAATAAAAATTGAATTTACAGAGAACAAGACCAAACGGCCATTCCATTCTTTCTCAGGGTCCTGAGTTTTTTTGTCCAATTGGCCTTCTCCTTGATCGTTTTTCAATATAAAATTATTAACGAGATTTCTTCGTGTTTATAATTTTGGCCTCGGACCATACACTGAAGATGGCGAGATGCGGAACGCGTCTGACAGACCGACAGAGTGAAGCAGGCGAAAAATGATCGTTAAGATTAAAAAAATGTTAAAATTACATTTAACAAATCATAAAATATTACAATCCTTTTGAAAATATAGTTCCTACTCACAGTAAGTTGTTCTGCAACGAACCGGATTTCGAGCCCTTTAACTCATCATCAGTTTGTAGAAGTCCTTCAATCTGATGTTGAGCTAAAGGGCTCGAAATCCGGATCGTTGCAAAACAACTTACTGTGAGTAGGAGCTATCTTTTTAAAAAGGATTGAACACCACACTCACTCCATCATTTATCATTTCTATAAAATATTAGATGTCCTTCTTTATTTCCATTAAATTAAATGTCTTTTAATTTATATTGCGTGGTTTTTTAAATTGATTCAGATTTTTATTGGAAAGTTTTTTCGTTATTCAGACAACATTCCCGATTAGAAGAATATGAATCATGTATAATTGTGAAATCTAACAAGCTGTGACACCGTTACCATTTCGTAGTGTAAATCGTCGGGAATTTGCCCATCAAGAATCAATTTCATCTTCACTTGAATTCATTTCGATATTGGAATATTTTTCAAAAAAACGCCTAAAAGACAAAAGGCCATTTAAGCTACTTACTTAACACAGCTTTCTCTCCTCGTTAAGCCCCAACAGGATAAAACCTGATCTTGCCGGCTACTCTAGGTCACAATTACATAATTTGACTTCGAACGTCTGGGTGAACCATCGGACAAGACGGTCACGTAGGCTAGAAAAGATCAACGAACCCCGGTCTATTATTACAAATGTTTATTGACGCCCTATGTTAAATATGTTTTAGTTATGTAATATTTTCATAGATACATTCAAATTGGTCAAGCGGACCACGAAATTAGTGAATTTTCATAGATTTATTCTATTTATTTACAATTTAGAAATGTTTATTTGTACAGATATTGCTCTTAATTCAGTTTCAAAGAAACTTTTTAAGTTTATTTCAGAACCGAAATGTTTGTAAAAAGTTAAAAAGAAGGACGTGCAGTGCACATAAACTGATTTCCCACTTTAAATGCGATATAAGAAAAATTGTACGAGCGAAGCATAGCACAAATAGATTCTGGATTGAAATGTGAAAAATGGTCATTCGAGTGTTTATGCAAGATTAAAGTCAAAGAGTTTAATTCAAATTCTAAGGTCACGAATGTTAATATCTATGAAAAAAACCCATCTGTTATAAACATAAACGAAGGTAACTAAACTCGAGGATAAAGTCAACGTTTGTCAAGTATTTGGGTCAGATCGGCGGAAATTCAAGGATTATAGCTAAGTCCCGATGTATGTATCAAGCGCCGGATCCGAACAAAGCGCACGGCCTCTTTAAGATGCGGGTGCGCATCGAAGCGGTTCACTATTTAAAATAATGGCGGGGTCTATCTTTCTCTAGGGCCATTTCGTTAAAGGCCTTTCCAGCCAGAGAAAATATTAGAGAGTTGCGTAATATTTCATTTTACTTTTCAAAAGAGAATGCCTACCAAAAGTGAAAACTGGATGTTTATTTATCAATCTTCCTACTAGGCGTGGAAGTTTTCGATTTTAAAATTTTTCCTGCAGTCTGTATAGAACAACTACGAGCTCGATAATAAAATGTAAAGAACATTCATTCTCAGATATGTTTATAAATCCCTCTGAAGATGCTCTCAATAAAGATCGAAACGTTGGCACGATAAAGAAAATGTTTTTCTAAACCCTACGCCACACCAGACCGCATCTCACGACCTACAAATAACCACAAATTAAAGTTTTTCCATAAGAATTATATTTTAGAATATATAATGACGATGTATATCAGAGGGAGTCAATTTCTCTTTTCTTTAACCCAAAAACAAAAAAGCCACTTATTCTTGTCTATCGGGGTGAGCAGTTTTAAACATAACAATAAAAATAATAACATACAAACAAACAATCAAAAATCCATATAATAGTTGGAAGAACTTCCCTTTTCTGACACTGCAATAAATGTCATATTAAACAAAATGTGGTATCAAAATTTCGATTTCAGTAATGTAAAATGATAAAATTGCCCAACCTGTTTTGGACCCGAATGAAAATTTACTACAAGTTTTTTAAAGGGCGAAGTTCAAATAAAGCAGAAAAGTTGCGAAACCTTTCTTAGAACTAAATTTTCCTTACGGATTTACTTGCTACAAGCTACAATATCTAAAACGATTCATTTTTTATATAAAGTTTATTTATCAATAAAGTTTATTAAATTATTCATTGGGTTAAGTAAACAAAGTTCTTCCTACTAGGCGTGGAAGATTTCGATTTTAAAATTTTTGCTACAGTCTGTATAGAACAACTACGAGCTAGATAATAAAAAAAAAAAAATTCATTCTCAGAAATGTTTATAAATCCCAGGCCCTGAAGATGATCTCAATAAAGATCGAAACGTTGGCACGATAAAGAAAATGTTTTTTATAAACCTTCGTCACACCCGACCGCATCTCACGATCTCCAAATAATTATTAATTAACGGTCACTAAACACCACACATTCTCAGATAAGTTATCTTTTTTTAGATAGTTTTATGTATCATGTTTTAAAAAGGTACTTTGTTAGAATGCAAATGTACACTCAGGGAAGACCTAAGTTACCTTTGTTTTGCAAGGTGTCACAAATTTTGAGCCTTCAACCTTTTGTTTACACTAGTTCACTTATTTGCGTATGAAATAATTGAATTACAAAATATTTCTGAGAGATTTATAGATAAGGGATGAAAAGCGAGTCGGGAATAACAACGAACAGTACTTTAAAGGGCGGACTTCGCCGAAAGAAGATGGTGGGATTTGGAGGTGAAATTATTTTACCACAGGCTTATTTTTTAGAACCTATATCTCAAACAACACGAAGTTCCTGCGATATTATTTTAGTCCTTTTTTGGTGGGCGGGGGTTCAAAGCTGAAACACTTCATTAGAGGGATTTTTGATCCAAGTCGGAAATGTTTTTCGAAGATGTCGTAATGAGCCTGAAAGGTGGCAGGAAGTCGGGAATAAAAGAAAAGAATATCTCATGGATTAATTAGCGACCATGTTATAAAAAAAACAATGGAATGATGGTGTTAACAATAGAACGTCGTTACTTTCAGATACACCTAATATACAATATTTATAATGTTTGAAAGCATTATGATGACATTTAAATTCACACTAATATGACTTTATTAGTTATTTGCATTGATATTTAAAGATATTTTATTTTTCGACTTTACCATCTTTGGAATGTTTTTTGATTTTAAATGTCGATACGATGTCGACTACGTAAAGTTTGATATAATATAATGATTAAAAATTATTTCTCTTTCTCGTTACTTAGTTTTAAAATTCCGAAATAGGCGAAATGATGTGGGAAAATTTCTTCAGCCAAAGACTTCTTGGACCCTCTTCTAGACATTTCCGAGTGACAACAAGTGAAAGTCCAAAAATTCAAATAATCAAGGGCAGTTCGGACATAACGGGTCCAGAAAAACGGATTTTTGCCATTCCCAAGAAAGCGGAAAAGTGAAAGCCCTTTGTAAAATTGACATCCTCGATTAGTCAGCCCGGGCGCCTCGTTATTTAGCCCACCGTGGAAGAAAGTGGCCCATTTCTGTTAATTAAGAGCAAAAATAAATACCAGTTTTACTTTCGTAGAGATCATTCTTGCATTAGTGACATCACAATGTACATCCGACATTTCAATTATTAAACGTGCTTCAAATACCTCTTTCCATTCCTGTAGAGGAGCAATCCATACTTTGCCCAGCTTAAAATGGCTTAATTTTGTCTGCAACAAGAATTATTTGTGAGATTTCCTCATACGGCATACGGTCTGTACGGTTCATGATGAGTTATATTTTCTGCATCTGTCCGATGATATGATACTGATATAATTTTGAGTTTATCAGTTTTTTCAGCTGTTTTTATATAACCTGTTTCCTAAATTTATTTCATCAAAGTACGGTTGTTTTCATAAACAGAGTCTTAGACGATCCTTACATTTGACCAGCTACCACTTGAACCGCTGAAAATCCTTTATGAATCTTTTCTGGACGATAAGGTGCCTGACACATGTAGAAAAAGCTTAACGTACTATTTTACAAAAATCGACCGGATTGATGTGCGCTGTTATCGACTTGTTGTTTATCGACTACGACCCCGTAGCAGGATGCGGGTCGCCCTTCACGGTCGCAGCAAGGTCGCCGACAGATTTTCGTGCAGGCTAAGGACGCCGACCCGTTTACTGTCTTCCTCAGAAGAAGCGCAATTTTCCTTCTTGACAGTCGTATGGCTCTTTCAGCCGTGGCACCGTTATTTTTTTATCGAGTTTTTTTATTTGCCCCGAATATGAACTGGTACTGTAGCGAGCGCAAAAAAAAATCAAGGCAGCACCGTTTAAAAAAATCTAATATTGTTAATGATCCTTGCTCATTTGACAACCTCATTTCGTGTAGTTTGGTCGTTTACGATAGGCAGGGCAAAATGATCTGGAACGACCAAACACACACCAGAGGAACCTCATAATTTAAATCCATTACAGTTCGTGGTCCGATTGACCAATTAACTTTTTTCAATTAATTAATCTTTATGAAAGGTATTGATTGAAATAAAAAAGTCAGTGTCACGAGCGGGATTCGAACCCACGGCCCTCGGCTAAATACGCCGCTGCACTGACCACTTGAGCTATCGTGACTTCAATCCACTCGGACACAAACTCTCCACCCCCGGGGGGGGGGGTTAGAATCCTGCTCGTGACACTGACTTAGTTTATCTCAACCCATACCTTTCATAAAGATTAATTAATTGAAAAAAGTTAATTGGTCAATTGGACCACGAACTGTAATGGATTTAATAATTATACTGATGTATGTCTTCACGAAAGCTCTCCGTGGCCATTTCATTTGTCGCCGAGAATCAAATAGATTACACAACATTTGAAAAATGACCAACAGGAAGAAAATTCGAAAGGTTATAGGTTGAGATGGAGAGTTGTCCGAGTGGATCGAAGTCACGATAGCTCAAGTGGTAGAGTAGCGGCGTATTTAGCCGAGGGTCGTGGGTTCGAATCCCGCTCGTGACACTGACTTTTTTATCTCAACCAAATCACAATTTAAATTCATTTCGCCTATATGTTCAATAAATTATTTAATTTATTGTTCTTACAATAATTTTAAATGAATAGAACCATTCACTCCAAGACGCCAACGGAAAAAACAATTATGTTCATCTAACGTTTTTCCGTAGTGTAGTCACCTGTTCAAATTTGAGGATTAGTTATTTATAGATTAAGGATAAAAGCTAAGAAAAAACCTTATATTCAGATTACAAGCTAACGTTTCACTTGCTTTTACAAAATACTGAAAAATATCTTGTTTTTTATTCATAGTCATAAGTCGAGAATTGCAGGAAGGTGGACACAAATAAAAGCACAAAACAGCCCGATCAATGTTGATTCAATTTTATTAGATCTTAAGTAATACTAATAACAAAGAAGTACATTATTGAACTTTATACATTTTTGTTTAATGCAATTAAATTTACAACAGACAATGGACATTAATCCGTCTGCCAGGTTGTGGTTCATCAAATAGTTGCACATACATCGTAAATAAGTAACAGAATAAAATGATAGAAATTATAGTGATATATACTACGCATGTACAATTTTTAGATATACTTTATTTTAACTTATAAATAAATTCGAGCAAGTTTTTACGTACATAATACATTATTTATCATCGAAAAATACAACAACAACAAATTTCATTTTTCTCTAGCGATCCGTTAACAAAAAATAATTAAGCAAAAAGGAATATTAACAAATAAATTATATGGGATAGGTGTACGTACTTTATCTTGCAAGTAAAATAACTAAAGTGCAAGTATAATGACTTATTATTTTATTCATTCAAACAAAATTTTACTTTTTTCTAACAATGTTCAATAATATAATTACAAATTTATTTATTTAATTTACGATCTCCGATTCCCAAGTTTTTCTGTATATCATCACATAGATACCTAGCATAGGTATGTTACGTGGGACCATCAATTTTAATGAAACGTTTTTATGTAATATGTACTAGGTCGATAAATATCGTACAGCACACATGTCCGAAATATGAAATAAAAGCATATAAATGTATCGTGTAACCCACCATAGGCTACAAATAAGCCTCAAAAATTTTGGTTGATTCGGACCTAATTGTCTGTGTTCTTTTTATGCATTTGGGCACTTGAACTACTAAAAAATATTTTAAATATTTTATATATATGGTTTTCTGCCATCGTTGTGTGTTCAAACGTATTAAAATTATATATTACTGATTTGTTTTTTTACAGGAGATTAAAAAAATGAAAAGCAGGATTTGAAAAATGTGATTGTACACATAAAAAGATAAAAAATTAAAAAACGTTTACAATAAAGTAGGTCAAAAAATTACATTTTCGAATACAAAACCGTAGTCTATTTAAGCACTCTTTAAAGCTTTTAAATATGAATTTTCATAGCAATATAAAAAAATAAGTGCCGGGAGACTTTCTTTTCTCTGTATCCGGTGTTTCACTTAAAAATTCATGGCCCCTCTGGATTTTCTCCAAATTCCACGTTAAACACTATTAAAAAGTTGAATTAATTAGTCTTATTTCTAGCTTATGTAAACGATGTTTAAATTATATTTCTTTATTGACCCTTTGTTGGCAGGAAAAACATTCGAATAGGACTCTTTAAAACCCTCAAATATCGAACTTTCGAAAAGCGAATTTTCATATCAATACGAAAATTCATGGACTAGATGAACCGGGGGACAATTCTTCTAGTGTATGCCTAGTATGCCACTTAAAAAATTTAAAACCATTTTATTTTTACAATTTATTTACTGAGGTTTGTGCCATTACGTGTATTTTAATGGATTCCAAATCGCTGTAATATTACATGTGGATCGGTGGAGTCGTTTCACAATTATTGGCATTTTTGCAATTTTCGAAAAACTCGAAACCATAAACGAAAATATTAAGAAATCTTTTTCTATAAAAAGTATTCAGGACCCTATCCAAATTCGGCTTTATTGAAGATTTTAAGAGCCGAATTTCTCTTATTTCGGCTTATATCAACAATGGTTAGATTTTATGCCGTTATAAATGAAAACAATAAAAATAAAATTTTAAAAAATTTCCAAACGTTTACCTTGCATCTCTCGTAAGTTATGTGGTAGTGCTGATGTTTATAGAGTTCTAAAACCCCGTAAAGTTGTGTTTTAAACTTACCACCAGTTTTGTTATTTAAAAACCAAAATTTGGCAAAAATGTCGAGAGAAAAAATATTTTACAAAAATTTGTTTTCGGGTGTTTTAAATTAATTTTATTTATTTATTTCTAGAGCAAAAAACGAATATCAATTTTGTTTTTTGCCAAAAATTTTTATTAACCTACTTGGTCGCAAATTATTTTTTTCAATGTCCTCGATAGCCACACTAAGGCTGCCAAATATAATTAAATATAATTCTTTTATATGTATGCCGAGTTTGTTTTTTCCCTTTTAAAAATTCTAATTGTTTTGTTTTGCTTTGCAGGCAGGTCCCACTCGCTCTGGCACATCGAATTCAAAAAGTGTGAGTAAATTTCAGTAACTTTTCAGCCTTCTTACAAGTATCACCAATATAGATCATTACAGCCATTCTTCATTCGTTTTTAATTACATCCGAGAATCTTGAAAATTCCATTCGACTCACGTGCACTTTCTCCAGTTCTTGGGAGAACCCACTTGCATAATCCGGGTCGAACCCATTACCATGGTGCATAATTCTGAACATATGGGCGGATTTCATTAAAGTAGGACTGAGCCCTTTTACTTTCTTTATGATTCGAACGCGAGAATGTGTTCGCGCTTTGTCCAGCCTGCAGTTAATAATAATTAAAGCAATTTAGTACAAGGATCCACTAATTCTTACGATTACGACTTGATAGTGAAATCATGCGGGCACAATGTCATATAATTGTTCCATAGTGCGATTATTTACATCTGAATGTTACATTAATGCGAAGGATCACTGCTTTTACTTTTCAACAAAGTAGTTCGTGCTATTTCAAACTATCAAAATGAAAAATTCTTCGACAAACGCAGTAAGTTTTACATTAAAATGGCATATCCCATTTTCAGGTACATAAATATAAGACAATTATTTTTTATTGGGTTCTTTTATTTACAGTTTATATCAAATCCCAAGCTATAAAAGTTAAAAAGACTATTGAAAATAAAAATAAATCTCCTACATATAATATTAAATCGAACTGCAAAGAAAAAATAGTTAAATCGAAATTTGCAACAGTATTTGGAATAAAGTAATAGCTAATAAAAAATATATCTACATATAAAAATTCAAGTATTAATAGTGCCATACGATTGGTGGTATGCTATAGAGCCCAACTCAAGGATATTTCAATTTGCTGGAAGTAGAAATGGTTCGAAAATATTTTACGAAAAGTGTGGTGTTTAGTGATTGTTAGTCAGTGATTATTTGAAGATCGTGAGGTGCGGTCTGATGTGACGTAGGTTTTAGAAAAACATTTTCTTTATCGTGTTAACGTTTCGATCTTTATTGAGACCATCTTCAGGGCTCAAAGTGTTTGTTTTCCGTTTAGATGTGTCATTCTTGTGAGTGAAAGGGCACTCTCAACACGACTCATCTAAACGGAAAAGAAACACTTTGAAGTTTGAACCCTGAAGATGATCTCAATAAAGATCGAAACGTTGTCATGATAAAGAAAATGTTTTTCTAAAACCTACGTCACACCAGACAGCACCTCACGATCAAAAAATAATCATTTTAGGATAAGGCTATTCTACCTACCATCGAACACACCTGACTATGACTACTCCTAGAAACCTCAAGCTCACCCCTTTACAGTTACACACTAAAATTACATCTAAATTATATCAGTAAAGTATTAAGTCATCGCACAAAAAATGTCATGCAAAAAAAACTAATTTCCTGGCAAATGTAATAGATAAAGATAAAATCTTGGTATAAATACGTAGTGTAAATAGGCAACCAGGTTCAAGTAGAAATTAATAAAGACGAATGTTTAATTCGGAGAATTTAATAAATAAAATTGAAATTAAAATTAAAAATGAAATGATATCTAGAGCGATGATTAGTGAATTCCGCACCATATACGTAAAATTAGATCCGGGTCAAGCAAACCACTATATTCACAATAACTCATTTAGTTTTATACTACATTTCTTTAATATTCAGAGTAAGAGGGGAACTGCTTGGACAAAACTATCAATCCAAAAAGGGAAAGGGTATTTAATGTGCCATGTGCAATTTAAACCTGGAGGATACCTTCTACTTTTTAGGAATATTTCCAGTTCTGAGGGAATTTAGAAAAGAATGCTTGGAAATAGGGCAACTATAACCGGAGGAAATAGTAAAAATAAATAAATATGTGTAAATAATACAGTAAATATGTCATGATAATGATGAGTGTTCTTGCTTGCCTACCCTTTTTGCTTACAGTGTATCCGGGTATATCTTGGTGTGAAATTGGACTCGAATTTGGGATTGAATTTACATATTGATTCTTTCTTTTCCCGTCTGAGAAAGCTCTTTTATAAATTTAGAATTTTACACTTTATGAAAATTGAACTCTTAAGGGCAATATATTTTTCCCTTGCAGAATCCATAATACCCTATAGCATTGTTCCCTTGGGGGGGGGTTACTAATAAATGCTACACGACTTAAGAAATAACTCACTTCTTAAAATTATTTTATGTCAACCGTACAGATGTAATACGATAAAATTATACATTGAATTTAAAGTAATTAATCTATACCAAATCTTTTTGATGAAACGTTCAAGTTTGTATATACATAAAAATAATCAGTAACTAATTTTTTTTTAAATTTATTATATTTATTTATTTTTTTTTAATTTTTATTTTTATTTTTTTTTTTTAATTTTTTTTTTTTTTTTTTTGGCCTTGTGCAACCACACATCAGCCATGATGTAACTAATTACATAGTAAATATAACAAAAGACAAAATTCATTGGCTACTTCATATTTTTACAATGTAAAAACAACGCAATATTTTTTTTAATAAAGACAGGATCATTATTCAAAATTGCAAAAACTAAAAAAAGAAAAAATGTATAATTTCAAAAATTTTAAATTGTAGTTAAAATATTTTAAATCCAAGATGGTTGGTTTTTTATCATACTGCACGTCTATTTTGTATTATGTTTGTTTTTCTATCCTTTTGTGAAGATATATTCCGTTTATTACTCTGATGATCTCCAAAAAATTCTCCTGTCTAGTTCAAGTTTTGTTTTTTGACGGCAGGCAGGGATGTAACAAAAAAAATTTTTTTGTAAATTTGTCTGTAATGTACGTTCTTGCAAATAAAGAGTTATTATTATTATTACATTGAACGGTTCACATTGGGTGGCACATGCCAAATATTTATTTAAAACGATAAAATACAGAAAGTTCCTGATTGAGCATTTCAATTACTAATCTGAGTTAATATCATAAATAACATGAAGATATAAAAATGACTAAAAATAAATGTATCAAATTTTAAGAGAGAAAAAATAAAAATAAATTGAAAAAATAAATAAATAAGCAATGATTATTAAACTTTAAACAAATCTCCTTATACACAATTTTTATTTAGAAATCGTGAGATGCGGTCTGGTGTGATATGGCACTCTCGACACGACACGCAAGAATGGCTCAATTACACAGAAGAAAAACACTTTGAGACCTGAAGATCGAAACGATGGCACGATAAAGAAAATGTTTTTCTGAAACCTACATCACACCAGACCGCATCTCACGATTCTTAAATAAATATCGATTAACGGTCACTAATCACCACACACTTATACACAATTATAAATAATAAATTAGGCAACTTGACAGGCTTTATATGCTTTTTAATAATAATATGATAAATTTATACATACAATATTGCTGTTGTAATATTTTGTATTTTATATTTTATTTGTGTAAATAAAAGCATTTATTCTTTCATTCATAAAAATAAATAGTTTGGTATAACGTGGACGGAACCGCGCACGTAGGTAGTACAACAGGGCGACCCCTGTAAGGTCATGAATGTCATGGGATACACCTAGCTTAAACCTAAAGGACGTGTTTACGTCTTATCTGTCTGTTTTTCCTACTCAGGGGGAATTCTCCAGCAAACCCGACCAGACTTTAGTACGACTGTATTAATTATTTAAAATAGAACAGCGAGGACATGGGGACAAGAAGGAGCCAATTGTAAACAGTAATCGGGTCATTTCTCGGAAACGCTAGTTTTCCTTGGACGGTTTGAATTAATCTACGACCTTAAGAACATGGAAGTGGGTCAAGTCGAGACGGGACTTGGGATGTTGGTAAAGTCTCCGGCGGGAAAAGCGCCAATTTCACCATTTTCCTCCGGCATCGTCGTCCCCCACCGCTCGCCGGAGGCACCTAGGCCGACAGCCACCACCTCGGCTGCAGCGAGGCCTTTCGCCGATCGCCGATCCGAGCCGCAGTGCCGTCGGTCATGTGAAACGGTATGGACAAGGAGAAACCTCTGAACCTCAAGTCCCCTCCGGCGGTCAGAACTGCCGATGTCCAGGTACTGAAAACGCATCTGCAACAATAATTTTGGATTTAGAACGAGGTATGATTTTATCGCGCTAAATTTTTTTTCGACTGTGCGTCGGCTTAGCCCTTTTGAAAATCAACGACGATCGTTTTTTTCCAAATCTTTTTCCGATCACAAAAGCAAATTTAGGTATCTGTAGTGCGGTCTTTTCTTATCGTTTTGTACTGCGTACCCAAGCTAGTACGAGCACCTCATAGACCCCATAGAAAAATCCAACAAATTTTAGTGTGTTCATAGAATTGACATCCCCTCAAATCAATCTTGTGTTTCCTAAAAAAAAATTTTCCGACTCGCTTCTTCATTTTACTCCTAGTGCACTATTAATATGTAAGGTTCTACGTTGCGCGTACGAAGACTCAAACTTCTGAATAATTAATAGTCGTTGTTACTGGTTAAAATCAATGTTCTGGATCAAGAATTAAATTGTGTTTCCATAAAATTATGAATTTTTACTGAGTTACCTGGAAATAATCATTTTTCAAAAAGAGATCATTACATATCATACAGAGATCATTATCATTACAGATCATACATAAAATTGACAACCCCCAAATCATAAACTTGCATTTCCTAAAAAAAGTCGTCCGACTCGCTTCTTCATTTTATTCCTTCCTATTGCACTAATGATAGGTAAAAGTGGTAAGGTCCTAAATTGCGCGTACAGAAGACTCAAACTTCTGAATATTTAATAGTCATTTTTCCTGGTTACAATTGATGTTTAAAACTTTTAAACATCAAGAATGGAATAATTAAAATTGTCAGGAGAGAAAATAAAATTCATATTATATTAAATTGTGCTTCCATAAAATTATGAATTTTTACTGCGTACCTGGAAATATTTTTTTTCATTTTTCTAAAAAAGATCATTACTTAATATTAAAAACTGAGCTTTTGAGGAATATATTCTTTGCATTAGGACTGTAAAGCTATAATTATTAATTTG